AAGAGGAAGAGGAGATGGAGGAGGAAAGAGGTGACGTAAAAATGACGAGAGGGAGAGGGAAGGGTACAACTGTAATTTTGGGGCCAATACCGGGGTATAACAGTAATTTTCCAGTGCACTGTTCTCGCCCAGCAGCCCCTCGGTATGAGGATAATTTCTGCCATCTGATATGAATAATCTGCCCATCACTCCCCCCTATGCACATAATTTGCCCAGGTACATCCATAATTTGAGCATGCTTGTAGTTGGGTATAACCACAATTTGGCAGTACCAACCTTGGCCCACCTCGGTCCCCCCATCTACAGGGATAGACACAATTTGCCTCCTGGGACTGGGTAAAGGGGTACAGAATCTACAGATGCAATTTTCCCCAAAACAAAAAGTGGCACCAACCTAGCCCACGTGGCTGAATATTACACACAGGAAAGGGAAGCAGGATATAAATACACCCGTAAAAAACTCAGGGCCAAAATAGCCCCAGGGTCATCAGTGTAGTAACCTTAGGGGCCTACACCCTTTAGAACTTCGGGGGGTTGCCCCTTTCAAAAAAAACTTAGTACCAAAATAGCACCCCCCCCCCCTCTCCCCCCCCCTTAATAGGACCCCTAATAGGACTCCTAATAGGACCCCTAATAGGGCAGGAGAAGCGGGGAGGCAGCAGTCCACCAACTGGCCCACACAGCTCAGTTGGTACAACCCTGGGGCCAAGTCCCACCAGCAGCGTTGAGTTTCCCCAACGCCTGAATCTGGACGTGATTGAGGAAATGTGCAGAAATGGCGTTGAGTATCCTCAGCCGCACATCTGAACAAACACGTCCAGATTCGGGCGTTGAGGAAACTCTACGCTGCTACCGTAGTGGGACTTGCCCCCCTGAACTGTTGAAATGCAGACCGGAGTTCGAACTCCGTTGGTGCCAATGGGTAAAAAACTACGATTCCGAATTACCTAAGTAGGGCCGGTCAGTCCTTCGGGACATCCGTTAAAATTGGAACGATAAAGAGAAGATTAGCATGGCCCCTGCGCAAGGATGACACGCATAAATCGAGAAATGGTCCCAATTGAAAAAAAAAAAGAAAAAAAGTAGGGCCGGTCAGCTGGATGATGATGATATCCCAAGGCCGTCGCCCTTTTTTGGAAAAAAAAAAGGGGAAACCGGTCAGCGGCGACGTGTTGGAGCCTACCGGTAATCATAAACGCGCAGCGTTAACAAGTTGGCGACCGGTCGCCCTGCGGCTCCGTGACAGGGAGGCCTCTCGCGCCTGCCATTCTCCGATATTGACGACCGGTCGCCCTCCGGCTCCGTGACAGGGAGGTTTTTTGCTGCTGCCATTCTCCGATATTGACGACCGGTCGCCCTCCGGCTCCGTGACAGGGAGGTTTTTTGCTGCTGCCATTCTCCGATATTGGCGACCGGTCGCCCTGAGGAGATCCGCCATCGCTGAGGAGGTCGAGGTTTCAAACGCCGGGTTCGTTGTACCAAACTGCCCCCTCCTCCTTCTCCTCTGCGCATCGTCCTGTTTGCCTGCCCCCTAGATCACACTTCCGCTGGCTTTCTGTAAACCCGCCTCCTCTCGATTAGAACGCGTGGGCGTTATCGATGGTGTACTGAGGGCAGGATTTCGGCCTCATGTATTCATTATGCTCATCCGTTACATTCGAGGTGATCTCACATTGTTCTTCTTGGGCTGGGTACTCAAACGAGGATAACCGTCGATGCCTCTGCTCACAAAAGCGACTGCAATCAGGGCCATGACCTTCCACAAATTTCGCACGCTCCTCCTCACTCCATCGCCATCTTCTTCGTCTTCTCCGACTCCTCTCGGATGTCCTCCACCCACCTCTTCACCTCTTCCTCTTCTTTGTCTTCTTCTTCTTCTCCTTCTTCTCCTTCTTCTCCTTCTTCTTATCCTGTGCCGTTCTTGGCCTCGATTTGGAAGCTGCATTTGCGCATTTCTAGTGATGAATATGCCCAGGTCATATGCACACACACACACACACACACACACACACACACAGAGAGAGAGAGAGAGAGAGAGAG